TGGTATCCTTCGACAAGATCTTTTATTCATGGTCGAGTCAAAAGTGGCTAATAGAATACTGATCTGCCACACAAAAATGCGCTGAAGTCCCTTCGATCTCACACGAGGACTTTGATAATTTTTTAAACTTTGAAGTTTGAACGCGCCTGGCAAGGTGTTAGCCCCGCTTATCCACAGCCAGGTCAGCATTTCTGTGTTTGGGTATTATCAGAGAAGTGGTGGACAAGTTTTCAGCGTGCCTCAAAAACTTACCCAAAAATGTCTACCAGCTCTCCTAATATTATTCCAACTAGTAGTGCATGGAAAAACTGTGTTGGAACGCATCATATCTACTGCGCACAATCGTGAAGGTTTTAAAACCGTTTAATATTTTGTAGGAACAAACCTAAATCAATGTCAATTAACCTTTATCGAGAAAGAAACTATTTATGACGCACTCGGACAATTCGCTCCCTGGACAATACGCGCCGGATAGTTCGCTTCCTGATAATTTGCTCCCAGAGCAATGCGCTCTCGGAGAATTCGTACACAGGACATATCGCTCCCGGAAAAATGCATGAACAGATGAAATAATGATGAATTATTAGAGCCACCAACTCCTATTTTGTTTAAGAATATTCCATATTGAGGCTGATAGGTCACCATGGCTGTTTCCCGCAAACCCAAACGCAAACATAAAAGTTTTCAGGCGCGCATATTGACATTAAGTCTGAAAATTTGCATTACTATTAACCTATTGTTTTTCATGATCTACCGAAAGAAAATATTATCATGATTGTTTCACTTCTGGCAAAACCGGAAGTGGATAGCACCTTTCTTATTTTATATGGAAGACCCTGTATTTTATTGCATTTTTGAAATCTACATGAAAATCTACGTCGTTTGATACCACCTTTTCCTATACCAATATAGACCACCGGTGCCCTATACCCAGGATCAAAGGTTTTCAAGTATTCAGGATGTTTCAAAATTTTTGATTTTGCTTTTCTTTTGAGCCCTCTACCAATAACTCTATTGACTTGAGTTTCAAAAAGTCTTCCAAAACCAACAATATCGACTTGATGCTACATGAGGGCCCCACCTGTCTTCAAAAATGTTCGTCAAATACATATGCAGGGTGTTGCATAACCGTATGTAAAAAAAATTGGGCGATAGCGGCGATCTAGGCACTTTTTCCAAATAAACCGAGGGTCCACCGTGTTTCGTTTGAGAGCCACCCCCAATGAAGTGGCGAAATTCAGATTTTTTCTTTAATTCTTTTCTCAGCAACCATAAGAGTTACAAAGATGGGTGGCACATCTTTGAATAGGTTTTCGGGTATGTCCTAACCGATTTTCCTACCACGAAAGAGCGCACCCCTACTTGGGGGGTGCGAAAAAATTGGAATTTAGACGAAATTTGGTGGTATCTGGGGGTTTTGAACATGAAAATCACGAGTCTGGAATTAGTTTTTGAAAATTCGAAAAATAAACGTTCCACTGCAATTCTCCCGGACAACGAAAATGGAGAGAATTCCACGAAATTTGTTGTGTACATACTGGATGAGTTAAAGAACAAAATTGTCGAACAGTTTTTAGCGCATTTTTGCAAATTTATTTGTAAAAAAGTAGCTTTTAATCTCACTTTGGCTGGCTGGCTGACTGGCAGCGAATGTGAGCGCGTAGAAGAACTCTTGTAGAAAGGCAACGGGTGTAGTACGTGTATCTACAAGGCCATGAAATTTGTCAACCTTAAGGACAGGGCTACATGATGTGGGGTTGGCGACATCTGGGCGTCATCCTCGAGCGTAGTTTACTAACGTGAAGGTTTTTCAGTTTTTTCCTATCTTCTACTATAGTTCTGGTCCGATTTTTTTCAAATTGGTGTCGTCGGAAAGATGTAAATGCGCACAACTCCTGCGTGGCGGAATTTTGTTTTTTGTCGTAGGGGCGAAATTAACGACCTTTTGCAAGGCGCGCGCGCGCGTGTTCGACAGGTAGTTAACTGCGGGCGCCTTTGACCTTCCGTTGCGAATTTTGTCACGCGGTTTAAAGTTTCGTAAATCTCGAATCGCTGTCTCTTGTGGAAGGTTTTTTAGCGAAATCCACCAAATTGTGGGTGTAATATAAGTATGCACCGAAAAAGGAAATGTGGTAGCCTCCGACAAGATCTAACTAATGGTGGAGTGAAAACTTCAAACGCGAATTTGGGGTGAACGGGGCGTCGGAAGTGGGTACCAACAAAGGGAATGTGGTAGCCCCCGACACGATCTTACTGATGGTGGAGTCAAATCTTCAAACGCGAATTGCGGGTGCACGCGGAAATTGGGAAGCGGGTACCGACAAAGTGAATGTGGTATATAATTCTGTTCTCAATACTCCAATCTTCTAAATGCAATATCTATCAAGCAATTCAAATATCATTATCTTCTTTGATTCTTGCGTTTCTAGGTCCACTTCAGAAGCAGTGTTGGGTATATCCTTTTTACCGCATTACAAAAAAAAAATTGAAAAAATAGTGCGTTTTGTGTCTGTCTGTCTTTTATTGTAATGTGTGTTGTTTATCTGCTACATGGATCATATAGGTATCAAACGAAAGTAAAATGTAATGTCAAGAGGTGACCCCCACTAAACAATCGCTCGTTCTAAAGTACTCAAATCCAGAATGGAATACGAAATTTGAACTCTTTTTTTTTTAATAAACGAGATGATACTTGGAATAATGTATTGATTATAATGGAAGATGGAACCATTGAATTTATAACTATCAAATTCAATGATGGAACTACTTAATTAACATTTTCCCACCACTCGCAGCCACGCACCATCTATCTACATCTTTTTGGAATCGAGTTTTCAATACCATGATCGACATATCGAATTACATTCAATCGTAATATCGTTATTTAATTATTTTTGCATGAAGTATATTGCTATCATCCCCCCCCCCCCCCCTCCCGAACTTCAGAGACTTAGTCTCCCTATCTCATAATGGGAATTTATAATTTTCTACGATAATTTAAAAATTAAGGGTGAAGGATACAAATGAATATATTATAATTTACAACTAATACCATTGTTTAAATACTTTATTTAAACAATGCTAAAACCTACTGGTAGCAGATATAAACGCAAAAGAAAAAGTAGTTTCAAGCGAGCATGCAATCTCATATTAATTTTTAATTAACTTTGAAAAAAAGTGGAAGCCTTGTGTACTAATGTCATTAATAAAAATAATGCATACTTAGGTATATAGGAGCAAAGATCAATACTACACTCTTTGATAGGAGTAACCTACAAGTATTAAATCTGAATAAAATTAATTAGGTACCTACCTACCTCGAATTTATAATTGTTAAGTATTGGCGCATTAATCAAAACGTAGGTAGGTACCTATGCTAATTATAAGCCTCTCTGCGGGAGGCCTTAAATGTGCCGTTCATAATTTTAGTTTAGCACCTACTGCCTACTGCATTTTAAACGGCAAAAAGATTTAACAAAAACCCGTTTTGTCTATTATCTACCTGTTGTTTTCAAAATACACTAATTAATTCAAAGAAGCATAGGTAGGTATAGCTTTAGTGACGAGCTTACCTACCTACCAATAAATAATTTGAGCTGTCAGTACCAAACAAATTTACCTAAGTAGTTATAACGAAACCTACCACATTTAACACATTACGATGCAAATTTCGGTAACTCACACAATTACAATACAACTCATTTATGCAGACGCCGATCCATTCAAAACACAATTTTTTTCGAGACTAATCTACTATTCCCTGGTTACGCCGAACGCTGCATAGTGTTGCGTTTTTTCATTTAAAATTTATAAAAAAACACATGTTATAAGAGCGGGTCTCTCAAACGATGCTCAGAATGTTAAAAAATTCAATTTAAAAGCGACGTAAATTTATTTTGTCGATTGTATAGCTATTAAAATGGACCCCATACAAAGAAACGTATTTGTGAGGACCTGCTCATTTGTGATTTTCCTCCTTTTCTAATTTAGGGTATCTAAAGAGGATGAAATTTTATTTTAGGTCTACTCTTAATATCTAAAATGCCCCCAGCAAGGATTTGTGCTCCGCCTTTTGAATTTTAACCAATGACTAAAACGAGACCTTTTTATTTTCATACCCTAATACCTACGTATTCTGTCCATATAACCCCCCGTGTGATCTAATCTAGGCCCCTAGCAATTGTTTCAAAATAAGTGCCTTTAATAATTGTTTTACCTCACATATGCGCTTTTCTTTAATATCCATTTGAAATTTGTTACAATTTATACCTCTTTCATATAAAGGGGTGCAAATTGTCATGTTATATACCTAGTACATATTGAATCAGTGTAGGTACTAATCGCTACATAGTTCAATAAGTTTTAACGTATTTTTCGTGGCTTCCGTTTGTCCGTACGAGGGTTTGAGATCTCTGTAGTCTGACCTAACAACCGCAAAACTGCAGTATGAGTATAAAGTAAACTTGATCAGACTAATAATTAGGTTTGTACACTTAGAAATATAGCCGTATGTAATATTTGCGTTCTTTATGCCAAAGGTCACATAAACAAGTACGCTTTATTACCTTGTACGAGTGCAGCGCCTTTACCATTAAATCCATACCTATAAAATTATTAATTCATTTTACGCTCCAGTGCCTTTTCTTCGATTTCAAAAACAAAAGGATTGGGAGTTATGGGCGCTGTACCTGCCCGTCCTTCTGGTACCACTAGCGACGAACCTTCTTCTCTATTGTTTTATTCGACATAGCCCCGACGCGACGCTTGCACTAATGCATTTTTTTTTGGCATCGTACCCAAAAAATTACAGCAAAAAGAAACAATCTCTCTCCCCTTCAAATTTATAGCATTAGCTTTGCATTGGTATATAAATTTTGTCATCCAAAACAAATTTCAAGTAACTTTTAATTTAAAAAAACCAACTTCCTCAATAATATTGACCCAACAAGCACGTAGCCCAATTTTATTCAAGAGAAACTAATACCTAAAAAATCTTAGACTAGGAAAGTCTAAGTAAAAAATCAAGTGCATTTGTTTGTAGTTTGTAGTCAAGTAGTCAATGAAAGTATTTAAAGAATCGATTTATTTGGACTGATACATCGGAAAAAACTGTGCCGCAATTTCAACGAAATTATTATCGGGGGTGCTTTTTGAATTCGTGACGAGTATCCATTGCTAATAATAAGTGGATGCTTTATGCAAACAGAGGAACTTAATTGCGTAGCGGAGTCGACTGGCTGTCTGAGATAATTTTCAACCGTGTATGGAGAGAACAAATTCGTGTCGTTTTATTCGCGGAACAACCTATCCGCGTAAAAATAAATTATTACTAGTTACGTTAAAAAATCAGTTTATCAATCAAATTTGTCCATCTATTTTGTTTATACGAGGTGCGTAATGGGGTGAATATTTTCATTTACACATAAATGCTTTTTGGCCTGGGAGTAAAGTAATAAAATTTTGTAATCCACTGTATATAATGTAGATTAAGTTTTGGTGCACGTAGGTATAATTTGTTGTAGGTTTAAATTTAGAATAGAGGGAATATACTTTGACCGGAGACAGACGGTAAATTTTTATCAGTGTGAAGTGCAGAGTGCGATTGAGGTCGTTCAGAAGCTGGAATGCGAATCGCAGGTTTTTAACGCGCACGATTTACGACATTGGGAAATATTTTAAGTCGTTTAGGGCAATAGTACCCACTAAAAGTGTAAACCAAAGCAAGTGTAACCCGATCAATTACTAGTTAACCGTATTACGAAGCGCGGAAGAAACTGCGTCATCATTTCACGTGCAAAATATCGAAGTGGAAAGTTTCCTAAAAGTGAGATCGCAGTAACGCGCAATTTTCAAAAGGGTTTACGCTTGCATTGTTTAGTCCATCTAGCAGAGGTGACAAAATTCAAACGACCAGAAGGTGGCCATCTACTACGTCAATAATTGGCGAGTCTCAGAAAAATTCAAAGGTTCAACATCGACCGAACCAAGTTCAACAAACTCCCGCTGAATCAAGAGACTTCCTTCATAAGGTAAAAGGCAATATTCCTTTATATGAATTAAAGTTGGAATGAGATTATTTTCAATAATATATTCTAACAAGTCATAATTTATATGAGTATTTACTTTGGAATGATCAAACCAGAGCATCACGTGTTAATTTTCAGATCGTATCGTATCGTAGGTATACGTTTTCAAGACGCATCAACAGCCGTCGTGGTATGGCTGCCGACCGCCAGCTTTGCATGCCTTCCGGAGCATGCGGTAATCACCACTAAAAACTAGCAAGTTGTGGAATTCGAACAAATAATTTTCAGATTATACGTGGGAATAAAGAACCAACCTTCCGCAAGGTAAAAGTCATTGAAAATGTATTTATCACTGAGCTAGCCGTGGTATGAGTTATTTCATTAATTGTACCAGTAACATTTTTACTTTTACCAGTGTCGTAAATGATAACATTCATTTTTAACAAGTGGGATTTCCAACTCCTGTAAAAGTAACTAAGCCGTTACCAGGATATTTGATCCACTTACTCGAGCATATCGACGGGTAAGTACTCATCCAAAAAAATCGCTAGGAGCCAAATCTGATGGGCGCGCTGGCCAGACTAGGTCAACTTTCAGAGAGCTCCTGAAAGTTGGCTTCCATGGAAATCATTCAATGTGCGCTGTCGATCCGTCCAGCGGGATCCATACGTCCCTCAGCATGCACTACTATATTCACAATGCTTTTCATGAAGTTCTCTTGGTACGAACGCTTACAGCTAGAGAGTATACCTGCTTCCTCGTGGGCATGCGCATTTTATGTAGATCTTGTTGTTTTGTGTAGGTTTGTTTTTGATGACCCTCATTTATAAGCGATAATTTACGACTTAAGCGAAGGGTTGGAGTCTTACAAAGGGTGATTGGAACGTATGGAAGAAGCCTGTCCATTGGTGATGGCACTTAACTTTAAGTGCGAATATCTTTCAAACGAGGTACCTATCGGAAAAGGGTCCAAATGGATATCTCGAAAACAAAATGTCTAGACTCTAGACTGGACATATCTACTGGCGATATGATAACTCGTCTGTGAATATCTCGAAAATGGATTGTCGGATAGGTACCTAATCTAACATGTAGCAGCAAAATACCCAAGCCAATATATGTTGAAAATTGAAAGAGCAGATTCGCACACAAACATTCGGACAGTACCTACCTAATACAAAAATGTGATTATAATAAATACTCTGTAATTTGCGTATACATATTTCAGTATTAGAAAATCCACATCGTAGTGCAGGCATCATGAGGTTTTGAAATATGCGTTGTGTTATGGTGGGGTGTCAGACGGACTTGAACTGTTTCCTAAACATTCTTCACATTTATCCCATGTAGAATCGTCATCATCATCTTCGTCAGATTGATCATCCCATTTAGCAATAACGTACTGTTTGCGTGCTTCTATTACTAACACTTCTTCCTTTTCTTCCTGCGCGTTTATCAAGCTATGGAAAAACTCCCCATTTGAAGTGTTATATGCTGCTATTACAAAAGCGTAGAATAGAAAGTGGATCGTTATTAAAATCGGTATCGCGTAGAAAATATTTTGAATTTGTTCGTATACTGTGGTCGGAGTAGCAACAACAGTTTCCATAATGGGGAGTGCTGATAATTACACTAATTAAATTTAGCTCTGATGTGACACTATAAGATTTATTTAATAGGTGACACGCGTATACTAGATAATGTCAGATCAAAAATAGTGACAGATTGATCATACTGGCTGTTATTACTAGGTATAAGCATAGTCCCCTCAACGAAGAAAAACTAGGGGAAATAATTCGTGTGAGTGAATTTTTGTATAGCTGTATGCGAAGGTGAATTAAACAGCATACTAAAAGTACTGATGTATGGCGGTGGAGCTAACGGGTGAGGGGGGTGTAAAGGACCCTTTTTTTGTAAATAACTCGCAAATGGCGGCCAATAGCAAAAATATACTTAAGTGATCTATATCAAATTCTCTACATAAAAGATTCCATACGCTTTTGCGCTAGGATCATTATTTAATGAGATATGGAGGGAAAACCATAGATAATAAAAACAAGTATAAATTGTGCACAACTCTTGTGCAGATAAAGCGCATTTTTTAAACCGAAATAGCTTTTGTTTTGACATCACCAATGGATCACGAAAAGAGGGCGAGGAGGGGGCTATGGTTTGGTAGAAATTAATTCCTTTCATTAGAGTACCATGAAGGATAAAACTATTCGGGGGGGGGGGGGGGCTCCTTTTAGACAGCGAATTTTAATGGCCGTCTGGTGCACTTTCAAGGTATATGCTTTTTTTTATTCTTAAAAAATGCGCTAAACAGAGTGAGCTATTGTCGGCGCTTTGTTCCTCTATCTTTATCGTGAGGTATGTTTGTTTAAATGCTGCATAGGTTATATAGGTATTAAATAACCGTCTACGTCCCATAGCAACCCCTCAGGCGGCGGAGTGAAAGATGATATACACGCACCGATATCCTCGGAAAAACGCTACACGCATTCTTTTGATGACCAAATAAGGGAATTTGATGCACTAGCCACTAAGAGGTGTTAACATTGCTTATTCTTTGATTTCGTTCGGAAATCCTGGAAACGTTTTATGTTCAAGTCCAAGAAACGGTGACATATATTTCCAATGACCACGTGCATTTTGACCCAGAGGTATCAACATCGATATGTACCTACCGATTTCGTTAAAAAGGCGTGGAAATGCGGCCTATTTTGATATGTAAGAAGTAAGTTTTATTTTTAATTTTCGATGACCAACTGCATTTGGATCAACAGTGACCAAAATCGTTATTTTCACTGATTGTATTGGCAAAAATTTGAAACTCATTATTTCGATTACAAGAAGTGAAGCTTTGGGAATAAAATTTACTTACAATTACATTTTTCACTTTATACTTATTTAATGATCCTATATCACAATCACAACGCACTGAAAATATAGTTCAGTTTCCCTTCCTCCAACACTTTCGAGACATTCACAATTAGTTGTTTACATCGCCAGTAGATGTGTCTCGTCTCGATGCTCTTTCCACTCTTTGAGAGTACCCCCTCCGACACTCCGTTCTGCAGATATTTGCACTGCACGTTTTGACATCAGCAATAAATATTTCTCGTCCTGACGTTCCACTTGCTCTTTATAAGTACCCTCTTCCGTCACTTCGTTTTCAAGATATTCGCTTCGACTTCACCAATAGATGTGTCTCGTCCAGACGATTCATTTCACCTAGGTACTTTCTTCCGACAAACCGTTCTTGAGATATTCGCTCTTAAAGTTTTGACATCATCAATGGATGTCTTTCTTCCAGACGTCCCATTCGCGAGATAACAACCGGTAAGGCATGTTTGTGAAGGAAATAACATCCATTTAAAACCGTTAAAGTTGTTTGAATTGCAGTCGTTATCTGGGTTGCTGCCTCATGTATGATTCGCAGAATAAACTCCGCGCGGAGTTGATTTATAGTCATCAATGAATTTGATTAGACGAGTGAAGTTAGTTGGTTGGTGGAAAAGATTTGCGTCAAGGGATGGGTGTCAATATAAAAAAGTAAAGTAGTGAGAAATTAGCTATTCTGAGATAACCGTCAGGGCATTTGCGTTCAGCCGTAAATAAAGTTAAGTCAACCACCTGTACATAACCGGAGGGTGTGTTTTATTTCGTGAAAAGAGAAATTACGGTCAAGCGATTGTTTTTGTGGAACACCGGTAAATTACCGTGGAGTGGCAATTATTTTGTGTTAATACAAGACCAGAGCTAGGTAAAGTTTAAACGCGCTAGATTAAGTTTTGGTGACCCTGAATTACAAGGGATAATTTGCAAATTACAAACTATTACGGTAAATACGAACAATAGCGAAAGTTTTAAACGCGTGTATTTAAGTTCTGGGCCTAATAACTCATGAGTCATGAAGAATGGACTTAATGGGTTTCATGTTGTAATTGTCGCACGTCTAATTCGATTGATTGTGCACAAGGAATATTCTTCTTACACGATATCTACATTTGTCGTCGGCTTACCTAATTTTGAGTGACCGTAAACTTGAACTGCCATTCATCAGGAAATATGGAAAATAAATCATTACCACGGAAACATGGAAATTCTGGACAAGTAAATCCATTCCTGGCGCCAAAACTTTAAGCTCGGATACCTCAGGAAATGAATATCGAAACTGGGTGGAATGATGATCTCAATGGGCCACATCCATCGAAAGTCGAAGTTATGAATATAATATTCTGTTTTAGAGAATTCAGTGTAATTAATGTCTTGTCATGTAGCGGGACATGTATACAATACCAATCTCTTCTGTAAATTAGTACGGGTTAACATTAATAATTAATCATACATCAATAATGAACATTACTCCAAATCAATAGTAATTTAGTAGGTAATTACATACCCACCCACAACGAATACTTCCGTTTCAAGCTATGTATTATACTACAGAAATAAACTTAGGCTATGGTGCAGGTGAACCCAAGTACGATTTTGACTGATGCTAGTATTTTTCCTACGGCTTCTTTTTTCGCGAAGCATGAGTTAGTAAGGGGACTGGTTGGTATATTATACGTGGTATATTCCAGTTGGATTTTAACACAATATTCGAAAAATCGAAAATGGATTGATGCATTTCACATTGTAGACGCAATATTAATTGTAGTAAGCTCTGCTATACGCAGAAAATTAATTCGAAAGGGGGTACAAAATCATAAAAGTAAATGAGATTTCGACGTTCAATTTTTAGGTTGGTGAAGATTATGTATCGATCATTTCAAGTATTGGAGAAAAGGTAGATAACGGAAGAAGTGCAAATCTTTTAAAAATATATGTATATCGACGTAATGTGAGACTTTTAACATTATTCCTGATAATGGTTGTATATGGAGTGCCAATTATGCATTATTTTGCTCTGAAGTATAATGTTGATTTTGTAAGTGTCGGAGAAATGGTCGCCTATAACGTATGTTTTTCAACAATGTTTGACATTCTGCAATTTCTCACCATTGTATTCCTAATCAAGCGCCAATTTATTATGATTAATGGAATAATAATCCGTTTGAGCAAAGAAATAGGTTTTAACAGAAAACGGTAGGTATGTTGCTCCGAAATATTGTCGCGCACCCAAAGTACCAGTTTTAGTGATCAATTGAAACTGGAATTAAGGAAAGTGCAAGATATTCATCATGTTCTATCGACGATCTGCAGAAAGCTTAATTACGGATTTTCTTTTCAAATACTATATTTACTAACAGAAACGTTCTTGTTATCAATTTTAGTAATACTTTATGCAATTCAAGAATATTGCTACAACTTCCCAAATTCATCAAAGCTATTTATGGGTTTTTTATTTATAAGATTGATGTTTCTGTTCTCACAAGTTGGTATCATGATTCTTGTGTGTTCTCAAACATCTTCCGAGGTACCTACCTAAGATTTAGTTAGTAATCAGTTAGAACATTGCTGTATATTTCAGGCAAAACACACAGGACTGTTATTATCAAAACAGCGAATGAATAAGACAGTAAGTTCGAGTTCGAGGTTCCAACTAGATAAATCACTGCATTTTTTTTAGATTTTCCAGTTCTATTTGCAGTTAATTCACCACCCAATTCAGTTCCACGCCTGTGGTTTTGTACTACTTAATCCTTCAGTGCTGCAATCGGTGAGTAGTTATATAGTATAGGAGGAGTAGGCAATATTTTGGGAAAATATTAGTTTATTTGAAGACAAAAACACCAATAAACTATATTTTTATTTTCAGCTGTTTTTGTATTCAAATAACCCTCTTAATTTCCCAAAATATTGCACATTCATCCTGGGACACCCTGTATATTAATACACTAACTTTTTAGATTGTTCGCTCCGTCATATTGTACGTACCATTAATTGTGACCGTCAATCTAATAGCAACGATTTATAAAAACACAAAATAAACAATATTGACTATTAAAATAATTAATGAATTGTCGCTTTCATTTATGTCAATATTGAATAATTAATTTAAAACAACGCAAGTTCGAACGGAACTGTCCATCACTTAGAAGTTTACACCATAATGTTAAAGCCAGAAGATATTTATTCCGCACTGGGCCCTTTGTACTATTTTACTAAATTGTTGGGGTTTTCTCCATTTCAGTTAAAAGGCAAAAGCTCAGTGTTCTTATCGGTTGTGAACATACTTTGGTGTATGACTTTAATTGCAGTTTTTGGAATGTATGCATTTTACGAACTTAATACTGCCCCCACTGACGATACGATTGTTGTTGAAATAGCAGAATCTATAAGCACCAATTTAAGCATTTTAAGCTTATGTGGATCAATTCTATTTGCTTGCATTTCTAGAAACAACGTAAGTATAAACAGTGATAATAATACAGCACTTATTGGTAGGTACCTATGACACATTTCACAACTAATTTTTTTAATGTAAGTTTGATAATTTGATAAGTGTATTTGTGTGTGGTCTTATCAATTAGACATTGTACGTACCCCCCAATAATTTTAATTAAAGGAAACAATGTGTTGAGTGGTCTCTGAAAAGCAAAAAAATTAACATTTCACTCGCACTATTCATCAAGATCCGAAAAATTACGAAAAGTATCAAGTATCGAATCACGTTGAGATATTTATATACAAAAAATGGCCGCACTTACTTTACTTACCTATGCTAAATGAAACAAGATCAATGGACCTACGGGAAAAAATCGATATTAATACCGAAACGGAAACGGTCGGTTGTCCCTAGCCCTACCATATTTACAATGGAAATAATCTCTCGAGAAAATCAGTATCTACGAAATTCTGAATATGAGAGTCAATAATGGTCAATATAACGGTTGATGCTAGTCGCTTGCTCAAAAGGGACTCCTCTTTCTCCACCGGCCAGCCGGCATACAAGGACTTGCCGTCTTACAGTATATTACGATGCCATCATCTAAAAAACAACAGATCAACATCAAATCTCTAAGCCCCACTTTATCCCACCTACCCCAACTAAACAAATATAGCAAACCCTAATGGTGAGTTAATACAATCACTATCATTAGCTCACTTCTCACTATCACTAGGCCTTTAATAAATACCCAATAGAAACAAAAGGCGATTCCAGAAACTCGCCTGGTAGTCGAAGATTCTGCCCGTACACTATCTCCATAGCAGTTCCATGTAGATTTTTCCATGCTGCACGAGTTTCTAATAAGACAGATGGGGGAATTTTTGTCCAGGAAGGCTCTTGATAGCGACCTTTAGTTGTCGATGCAACCTTTCCACTATTCCGTTGGCGGCAGGATGGTAAGCCGTGTTTAGTAGAAGGGTGGATCCTAGGAACTCATTTAGTTCCTTAAAAAGATAGGATTTGAACTGCCTACTCTGATCTGTGGTTATTTGCAACGGTGTACCAAAAAGACATATCCAGTAATCGAATAATGCCCTGCAAACGGTGACTGCTACCTCATCCTTGATTAGAATCACTTCCGGCCATCTGGAAAACCTGCCTATGATGGTACGACAGTACCTGTATCTCTACGATGGTGGCATAATAGTTAGGTCGATGTGGATGCTCTCGAAACGCTGATTTGGTACTGGTAATTGGCCAATTAAAGATGCTACATGTCGCGACACTTTCGACTTGTGGCAGTTTAGCAATTTTGCTCCCACGTTTGGCACTGAGTTTCATTCCTTGTCCAGATATTATATCGGTCTGACATGAGGCTCACTCCGGGATGTGACAGATTACGGATGGAAATAAATGGAATCTTCCATACTCACGATGTGTGCAATCGGTGTCGGGGTTTGGATGTTCCAGAACTGCTGCTTCCAGTAGCGCACGCTTACTCGAGTCGAAAGCCGCTGGCCGTCTAGTGGATGGGCGCTTTGCCTTTGACGGCCACCCTTTAGCAGATTGTTCAGGTTGGTTAGGATTGTGCCGCCTTTGGTAGGAATCGTCTGCAAACATTTAGCATTCCAAGAAATTGCCGCAGTTGTTTAAGGGTATTTGGCCGAGGATAATTGATGATTGCTACCACCTTAGTTGGCAATGGACGTGAGCCTTTACCTGAGACCAGGTATCCCAAGAATTTTATCTGCGACTGTCCGAATACGCATTTCGCTGGGTTCACGACAACACCGATTTTTATTGACGTTGGAGAAGAATACAGAATTGTCTACAAGGTCGCTAATTTACTATAGTACAAATCCCTACCGTTGTTTTTAATCTGCTTTCTTGGGCGAACAAAAAGATCATATTTATTTTAAAGAGCACATGGTTCATTTCAAAAATAAATAATCGTTGGATAAATCTAGCGTTTTCATAAATCTACTTGAAAACAGTCGTGTAGTGGACGATATTTATCTCATGGTTAAGCAAGTAAGTAGTAAAAGTGAATTAGATTGCTAGAGATTCGTGAAAACAAACCCTTCCTAATGAATAATGATGAATTAATTAGTATAAATAGGGTATTTGTATATTATCATCCAATTGTTGGCTGATGATGGTCATGAGAGCTTTGCTGTTGAAACTCGTTCCATATTTTGATATAAGTTATATAACAGTGTTGTGGTTTATCTTTATTGCTGTTTTTGTTTTACTTTTTGTTCGTATACATATTCTAATGTCGTACTTGTACCTACAAAGTTATGTCACCTTAGCTAACAATTAAGATTGGTTAACGATGTACCTACTCTAGTTGATATTCGCTTCGTTTTTAGATTGCAAACGTTATACGGGGCATTGCAATTATCGATGAGGAACTCCGAACACTACATCTAGACGTAGATACCAAAGTTCATTACCGCAATACAAAAAGTTATTCAATATTATCTATCTCCGTATTATTAATCTACATGGGTGGTATCATTTTCGTCAGTTGCATCGATCACTTAATGAACCACAACGTAGTGACATTAGGATTGGTTATTGCCCATTCGGCCCCATTATTCTCCGTGTTTGCCGAATTACAATTTTGCGGATTTGCTTTACTATTACGAAAGAGATTTTGTTGGATCAATATGAAAATGGAAGATCTCGTGAACAAGCAATCCCAAAGGAATCGACCGGTATCCAAAAGGTAAATAAGCAACCACGGTAGCTAATTTATTTTCTCTATTCATTGATAATACAGATATACACACCTGTGTATATCTGTATAATCAATGCTCTATTTCAGGTAGGTAATATGTAAGTTCAGGTTTTAACAAAACTTTGTAAACCTATACTAATTGTGTTGCAATTGCAAGCGCCTCAGGGTGTAATCCTTCTGTCTGTACGACCCTGCAACGTCCTATAAGATGTTATAGTCTTTATAGCTTATATGGATTGAAGCCTAAACGTTTATTGAGCGAAATTTCGGGTTGTGTTTTCTGAAAGTGACAGCGTGACCATTCTCATTATTGACTATACTAGTTAATAATGTCCACAATATTAACCACTTTGAAAAACTGCCGAGAAAGCCTACTTTACAGGTGGAAAAAAGGTTATAATAATCATGTCATCAGATGCTAGTAGTGAAAAAATAAACTGATACAACGAAATATCGAAGTATCCTCAGTATTACAATCACTTTTAACAACAATTTATTTAAATCTTACATAATACTATACATTTTATATGCATCAAATTCATGTCTTGATCATGGAGATGCTCTTAATCTTGTGCCCAACGATATCAGTGCAAGAATAACGATTTTGACATGTTTTGATCAAAATCCACGTGGTCGCCAAAAATAGATCAATTTCATGTTTTGGTCATTGAGATAATGTTCTTGGTCTTTTTCCCAACGTGATTGGTGCATATATAACGATTTTGACATATTTTGATTAAAATTCATGTGACCTCTGAAAAATAATTTAACATGTCTTTTTTCTACTCGGCAAACATGTTAAATTCATACCCATACATAAGGATTTCCAATGCTAAAAATGCAGTATAAAGTTGACTTGCTACAGAAGGAAGAGGTGATGTCAGATTGTCGACTAAACGCTGAAATAAGTAAAAGACTGAAGATAAATGCAGGTAGTGGAATAATAAAAAAGGAGTGGGAGATGGCGTCATGGCTGAATCAGCGAATATTTGGTTAAGTAGCACAGCCGCTAGACGAGAGAATGGTTTAACGAGGAGTGTAAGCGCGTAGTAGCCAGAAACGGGCAAAAATAGAAAAAAAAGTGTGACACAGATGAAAGGTACGACAAGTTATAGAGACTTGTATTGTTTTTCTCTATGTCTACTTTTTAATGGCAAAATTTCTTCTGAAGGACGCCTAATTTTATGCAACCCACTGCATGTTGCGTTATTGACAACGTCAAAAGAAGTACACAGTTAGAAGAAGAGATGAAGTGCAGACATAACAGAAAACAGTACGTAGGTACGTCAAGATACGATTGAGAGAAAGGGGGTACTATATTGAAATAGTCGATGAGTTAGTATGCTTCGGTGTAACAAGCACAAATGAAGCACATGAACACTAAACAAAAAAAACTTTGGGTGGCAGCAGAGCGGTAACTTCATTAACAACGATTGTAAAGCCAAAAAGTGTATCAAGAGCAGTACCTACAGTAGTACATAGGGGTAGTACTATATGCATAAGCGAGAAGTAAGTCATGTCCAAAAAAGAAGAAAATAGATTAGAAATATGAGAAACAAAGGAAAGAAATTATTTTGGGAATTATTATTCCAGGAGAATTATTTGTTTTGGGGAATTAGTCACCAATTTTTATTGTATCGGAAATATAGGAATATGATGAACTATAGGTATATGAGCACGTATAATTCTCGTATCTTCTGCGCTTTTCCTATGCATTAAGGTAATCTTGCTGTGTAACATTACTGTGCCACTCTGTAATGACAGAATTATGGTATACCATCTAATCAGTTTCATCATAGACTAAAAATTAGTCCATGATTTCATGTTTCAGATCAGCACTCGCTCAAAAAAACATCATCTTAACACTCCTACAGAAAATAGGAGATAAACATCACGAATTGTGCACGATCACAAAGCAATTAAATAAAGCTTACGCTGTCCAAATGTTACTGTTTATGATACAGGCCTTTTTAATAATCATTATTATGTCCTTTTACTTAATAAAGATGTATCTGTTAAATTCATTTCAAGAAATTACACCGAACGAAAAGATCGTCTACATAAACACTCTGACTTTCCAAATATCTTTGGTTTTTATTATTGTTTTAATCTGTTCAAGCACAAGCAAAGAGGTGAGTAGCACTCAATTATGCAATCCGTCGTTTTTTAAGATGTGTTTTAGGCGAGGAAAGCCGGAATTCTCTTGCACAATTTGGTGTCTTTAAATAGCGTAAACGGCGTCGAATCTTTTGATATCGAAGTAAGTTTTACGTTGCTTGGGTTACCGACGCTCTTCCTTCTTTTGCAGGTAGCATGCTTTTCATTGCAATTGCTGCATCATAATGTAAAATTTACGGCTTGCCGACTTTTTGTTGTCGATGAAACCCTACTGTACACTGTAGGTAACCATATTTGCACAAGTACAGAGTAGGTAAATAAAGCCGTATTGCAGATTTTTGGAGCGGCCACTACTTACTTGGTCATTGTTCTGCAGTTTGAATTCGGAATATCGACCGCATCTAACGCAGCAAATGAACTAAAGTCTGCAGCTCAAACAATTAAACCCCAGTAACCCATTTAATGGGGATATTTTTAGTGTAGGTTTATGTTTAACAGTTTGTTCTCTTCAAAGTTTAGTTAGTGCTGAACCCCTATACAATGAAGTTCCGACTACATCTCTCCATAATTTTATTATGGGGCTTAATCACAACTAATTGTATGTCAAATTACACAAATGGTAAGACGATTTTCCTCCAAAAGCTAGTACCTACCTATAGTCGCTGCGTGTTTATTTTTAGTATATATTGATGGATCACCAAGTTCTCCTGAAGAAATACAACATGCAATTTGCAAAATTGCAATCGAGGATATTGAAGCAAGTGCAAATGCAACGATAGTTAGAGAACTTAAAGGAGTCTGCACGATAAGTTACTATCTACTCACGATTAATAATTTAGATTACCATATAAATTTTTAGAAGAAGTCCTGGCGCGGTTAGCCGAACTGGAGCAAAGACTTATAGAAGAGATAAGAATGATTAAAGAATCGGAACCTAAATTAAAAAGCTTACAAATTCCCGTAAGTACAAACAAACCCAAACTCGCCGAAAAGTCACACGTCGGATATTCACGTGATCTTGAAGCAGTTCAAAACAACCAAACTATTCATATGACTGAACTGGGAAAAAGTTTCTTGCATTTTTGGAAAGTTTACGACATTGTCAACATCTTAAACTATTCTGAATCAAGTATCGACAGTGCTATGTTTTATGTGCAAGGTATAAATTAATACAAATCAAAGAGAGCGCAAAAATAAACCGTGTTGTAGGTAATCCATTGATCATCACAATCCATCCGCGTCATCTCGGAACGCAATACTTAGCATTGGAATTGTCAAGCAGCAGTTGGGTGCCCGCACATCGATTCGTTATATTAAATCAAAATAATCCCAAAGGTGATTTAAGTTCCCAAATTTTAGGTACCAAGATACCTTTGTTTCGTATTCATGCTGACCGTATTTCTACGTCAGATTTTATTACGGATGGAAGCTTAATCATCAAAGCGATTATTTCATATTATTAAACGTATTACCTACTTCAGTGTAAAATGTATTTATCATAAATTAAAATAAATGTGTAATAGTAGGTACATTATATATCAAGGTAGAGAAGTACCTACAGTATTATTGCCTGAGCACCAAGATTACATCTCGAGGTGTTTATTGAGCGAAATTTCGAGTTGTGTTTTCTAAAAGTGACAGCGTGACAGTTCTCATTATTGACTACTAGTTAATAATGTGCACATTATTAACCACTTTGAACAAATGCCGAGAAAGCCTACTTTACAAGTGAAAAAAGGTTAATAATCATGTCATCAGACGCTAGTAGTGAAAAATTAGTATATTATATATCAAGGTAGAGAAGTAGGTACAGTATTATTGCCTGAGCACCAAGATTACATCTCGAGGCGCTTGCGCCGAGGGGTGTAAGGTGCGAAGGCAATAATATATATAGTTCTCTACCGTGGTATATATACTATTTTTTCACTACTAGCACTTGAAATCCTCTAAATTAACATATTATATTGATAAGAAAGTGAACGGTTGGACAGAATTTTTTGTTTATTAAATTAACATGTCAATCAAGTACGTAGAAGTACAAGTCAAACAGGCCGTATTTTGTTCTGTCATTGAGATATTTTCAAAGAGTAATTTCGTTCGAATTTTTTCAAAATGTGATAATTTTAGTTATGTAATTTCTCTGGAAATGGCGGATGATGGCAATTATTCATTTTAGAGAACTTGTCCAAACGTTTATTGAGCGAAATTTCGCTTTGAACAAATGCCGAGAAAGCCTACTTTACAAGGGGAAAAAAGGTTAATAATCATGTCCTCAGACGCTAGTAGTGAAAAAACAAATATATACTAGCAAACGAGCTCCTAGGTATGACCATTAAATTCAATGGCATGACAATCAGCCCGGTGATGTATCACTAACGTTCGACGTTTCTGATGCATCGCAGGGCTGAATAACCTCTAAATTGAGTCACTGTAGGTCACAGGTATTACTATAGATAGCTTAGCATTCCGTAGGTATTAGTATTACATGGCTAAAGTCCGATTCACATTATCGATCAAGTTAAAGCCAGAACATGTTCATAAGGAATACTACAATATTTGACCGTACCGTGATCTGACCGTGACGTGACCGAGAATGTGAATCTGCCTTTAAGCTTTGCTCATTTTGAATTTCATGCAATGAAGTTCATAACTAACGCTAATGCAAACGGGTCTTCTTTATTTGTTTTATTTGTTTGGAGATGTTTTTATGCGTCGTTTCGCTTGGTGGTGCGATCAAGATATCGTTGAGCGAACGTGTAAGGTAGATCCTTGAGAACCTGATTGATTAGTTTGCGCCGCATTCCTGAGACCAAACGCCAGCACCGGGCACTGAAACAGCCCGAAAGGCGTTGTCATGGCGTGGTGGTCTTCTTGATGTCCGAAACGTCGATTGAATGAAATTGAAATGCACGCACAAGATCGAGTTTTGAGAAAGTGATGCACGTATCCAACATTTGTGAAACGTGCTGCATATATGAGGTAGTTAATAACGATCTGGAATAGGCGATAATCTCCACACGGCCTCCAAGAACCGTTCTTCTTGGCAACAAGCGGGCTCGCCCAGGGGGATTGAGAAGGTCGGTATACCTGACTCTAACATGCGGGCGAATTCGGTTCGAGCGATGGTGAGTCTATGTCGAGGCGGCGGAGCTTGGAAAATACAGGTGGACCGGATGTTGGTATGTATAGTATGTAAAATTTATGCGTAACCAAAGAGTATTATACTCTTTGATAGAACCGCCCAAGGTTAGTAGAGAGAGTAGGTTGCCTCGTAACTTTAGAGTGACGCGTCATCGAGAATCCGGAACTCCCATTTGTTTGGCGTTTAAAGTTTCTTTGACTTTGACAGTTATAACGGGCGATCAAAAATGAGTTGCTGTCGAGTCGCCTTTGGAAGTTCAAGTTGAATACGATTTCTCATACAAACAAAAATTCCAAAGGTAACTCGAAAGCAACTCATTTTTGATCGCATAGTATTTGAACTGCGTAAGTGCTTAATTGTCAGACATTACTGAAGACTCTATTACGAATACTTATTATAATTCGATTGAATACTTACTTTTGGATACTTAAGTATCAATATAGCCAATATAGGGGATTAGATGCCGGATGGAAATCTTTGTGACGTTGTTATATGCAATACCAGCTCCAACAAATCGAAAGCAAATGGATCGCAGATTCAGTTTTTTTGCAGGTAATTCCTGTATTACAAAAAGAATGGGTTATAAAGTGCAATGGAAAGGGGAATCTGAACCCCGTATGCCGTGCAGTCTGCATTTCCGGCCGAAGACTATGAAGATGAAATGTAAGCTATTTTGAATAAAGTGCGTTTAATATTTCGCTAGCATGTTTCTTTCTATGCAATGCACATCCATGTAAAGTACCATTTCGATCCATTTTGCATTTTTTGAACTTGCTGTTGTTGTTGTGTTAATAATTAATTTTTATGATGTGGACAAAATGGGATTCTGGGTGACGTCATCGCGTATTTTAATACTTGTCGTTTATTGGCTGAAAGGCAACCTACTTTCTCTATTAACCTTGAGAACGGCCTTGCCGTTGGGCTAGCGTATAGTGAGCCACAATCGATACATGCGTGTGCCTTCTGTGGGTAGACTGGAACCACGGTTTATATATAGAGATAACCTTAATTTAAAAACGTTCAGGTTAATTTTATGAAAAAGTGCTCCGTTTGATTGTTCTTTAGAGAAATGAAGAGTATAATTTGTTTATTTCTCTCGTAGAAGTTAAAAATTTTCAACTTAAAATGTCCCTAGCTGTTTCCAACAGGAATTTCTTCCTCAAGCTTCAATTGTTGAAGTACGGAAGATTGTACGCTACATCTCTTTCTTCAGTTGAAGATGAATACACACAAACACCACAGTATCCAGAAATTGTGGATCTTGCACCATTCGAAGTTAAAAAACAAGATGCTCAAGACTACTATGAGACAATCAAGGCCGTTAAAACTGTTGAGGAAAAACAAATAAAATTAAACATGCCCAAATATTACGGTTTTAAATGTTTTATGCTGCACGAAAACGCAATACCATATAATAATTTAAATCTAACTCAGTATCTTACAAAAACACATTTAATCGAGAATAACCAGCTACCAATAGTGTGCCCCACAATGGAACATGTAAACCTGGAAGCGTTAAAACGTGATGTTGAAGATGTTTTAATACTAGCTCATGAGGGATATTGGTAAGTGAATGTAAATTTAAGCAATTATTAATATTAGTTATGCAGCAAGAATGCATCTGTTAAAGATTCTAATTTAACTGAAGAGGAATCGCAAAATGCAATGAGTTCAATTATAAGTCAGCAAATACATCGAGCCATTCTGTTAAATTTACATGTGAATTATCCACATTTGGAAGCAGTACAGGTATGTAGTTTGTATTGTAAAGTTCGACTAATAGTCCAGTCACAATAGGCAAAAAAAGAGTGTTTTGCTGCAAAAGGTCAAGGAGTTTTGAAACTTGGTAGATTACTATATTTTGGGGTCCCGAATAATACCCTGAGTTTGCAACCTTGCAGTTTAAGAATCGACAGTGTTCCCATTATATTCTTAGTTCAATCTCTGTCGCGCTTTATTTCCACGGGGTTAGGCTGCTTATACCTAGTGTTTTTTTCAATGCTAAGACAAATGCTGGTTTCGTTCTCCTTTCCTGAAAAAAAAGCGCTCTTAACTGTTAATTGCAATTACGACACTTTTTTTCTATCACCTAACAGTGACGTGATTACTGTTGTCCTATTCAAGATGTTGACAGTGTAGCTTAGGCTAAAGACATCTGGTGAATGGTGCGATGAAAATGTTAGAACATTAAATAATTCTCCTTAATGGGCTCCCGTTACAGCCTTCTCCTAGCAGACCTTAAGAATTTCACACACAATACCACAGTGTTACTAAGTAGATTTCTTATTTTAGACAGACATCGATCCACGTATTGAGTCCTGTTGGTTTAGCGGTGGAATTCCCAGCAATCGAGAACATGAGTGTGCAGTAACTGAGCGGAAAGACAAAGCGGTACAATATGTTGGAGTACCTACTCTAACAGTGCGCTCTGAAGTTCCATTATCTCCAATAATATCTTTTGATGAAGCAAAAAGTACTAACTTTAACATACCAAATTGCGAGTACCAGCCGCAGTCATTTGGAGTATTTACCACTCATCGGCGGATTGTTAATGTGCCAGGTATTTTGTGATTTGCCTTGATTCGAAATAAATGTTTTTTAAGGATTTTGGCCAGGTGATCCGTATCAATTTGGATTATTAGCATACCATTACAGAGGACATATCTTAAGACGAAGGTTCAAAGATCCAGTTGAGCATCAAGAAGCTCTGCATAGACAGGGAATTTTGGCAGGTTTTGGTTGGCTCAATGCCCAAGCGAACTTTTTGGGATTCTCCACCTACAATGATATTACATACCCGTTAGTGACGCAATGTGTAGTTACAAATGGGAAAATGTGGTCTTTTTATGCTTACCAACTCAACACGATACTAATGCACTTGAAGTATATTGAGGATAACTCAAAAGTTAATATTTGTTGGGGTTCAAAGGAATTAAAACTCTATGAAGAAATCCAAAATGGCAAAGTGATCGGTTTTAATGAAGATGTTCTGAAGATGTTGGTTTCATTTTATACTAATGTTCCGAGAGAACGTTCGGGAGTTGAGCTTAGGCCATTCTTAGGTGATCAAGAAAAAGTGATTGCGGATCTACAGGACGATGAAAGACGTGAATGGCTTGAAAAGGAGTACAAATTCATTACCTCAAATCGACCTAGACATTATTTGCCGTATGAAATATATCATTGGGAAAAAATATATAAAATTGATCACAAGAAAAGACCCATGGATGCAAGAAGACGGCCATTTGAACTGTTCATTAATCCTTGGGATAGGACTTATAATAGCCGCAAACCACGTTATATACCTAGAAAACATAGACCTGATGTTAAACGGCATGTTGGAAGAGATGCTAAAGAATATTTTCCGTAATTGTTAATAATTTCTGTAAATGAAGCTGTTTTTGTTTTAATATAGAATCGACGACTCCATTTGTTTTAATGTACTTATTATACAGGGTTATTACAAAATAAATACTGTTCCAATATTTTATCAAACTAAGACTATTGAAGAAAAATGTTAATTTGAGTAAAAGGCCAACACTTTGATAGTGAGAAAGTTAGATTTAGTGATACAGGAATGAAATGCTAAAATTGATGAATTTCAAAGTGCTATAATAGCTATTTATACAATAAGTTGTGAAATGAGTGTCTTATAGGCACGCGACGTGAAAACACATCTAGTGACTAAAAGACATCGTTTCGTAACGAATTATATACAAGATTTTTTGTGAAAGCGGAGAATTTGATAGTTTTATAATTTTATTAGTATTTTTAAACATTTTGAAAAGTAGGCAGGCAATCTGATTCTAAGGCAATGTTTATGCATTATTTAATGTGAAATGTGACGTTAAGGTTGAACGTAGCGTGTTGCCGTCTTTCCCGCAAAGTTTTGCGAAAAAATTACTTCAAATGAGTGATATTGACGAGTCTTTAGATATTGAACAAGCTGCACTATCCACGTTAGTACCCGAAAAATCAAACATTTATACGAAAAGACCTACGACAAAATTGATTTTAATTTTTTATTTTTAGGCACTAATGCCTAAAACTTTCACATTTATTATTATTATTTATTTAGTGCCTATTTCGAAATTCTAATCAATATCAAAATTTGTCAATTTCGAAACGCTTTCACAAAAATATTTTTTTCCAAATGGAAATACCACTATTTTATTTCGATTTTCGATACTCTTTTGTGCTCCCTTTAATTTTTGTAAGGGGCTTCCAGTGTTTAAACAAACGAAAATATATGTAGATTATACAGCCATAAAAACTGCAATATTGATTACTTTTTGTAGTTAATCTGTGCTTTTGGCCATTCTTAATTAACTAAATGGCGGTCTTATCTCTGCATTAGTAATAATGTTCTGCCATCGGAGGTCTCACTGAGCCACTGCCAATCTGAATCGCATATTATGGAGACATTCCTTTGAAATTTTAAAATCATACATATATGTAGTAAATACATTCAATGGTATAATAGTATTGATCAATGCATGGAAAATGATTATGTATCGTCAGGGTGGCACAACTAGTTCATGTTCTAGTATTGGCATATTCCCGCCAGGGTGCTGGCCTCCGCTAAGCAGATGTCGCACTCGGCATCCATTAAACCTGATGCGACTTTCAGTTCTCAAGATGTCGGCAATAAAAGAGGTCTGTAATGCGAAAGGTCGGCTTCCAGGCTTTTGTCATTTAAAAGTAGACATAGGGAAAAACAATACAATGTAAATCCCTATATCTACTTCTTAATAAACTGTAACTCAAATTGTTTAATGGAGCATTTCAGTTTCACATATTCAGTAATACGTATAGTCCGTCGGAAAGCCGCGTCTAGGATGCACAGAAACAAAACCGAGGTATAACTAAATGGGACCTTCACCATTAGAAAAAGCACATTTTTTTACATAGGAAATGAAATTTGACGACTCCCTCCATTGGTTGAGACTAAAGATAAAGCAAAAAAACAGGAAAAAAATGGAAAACGTTATTTTTACCTTTGAATACTCATAATTTTTTTTCTAAAGAAGGTAGAACGACATTTTTTGCTAGTTTTATTCCTAATTCAATTTACTTTCTATTGGTATTTCTTAATTCGATCAATTTTGTTAACTGTATTGAACAAAACAGTAATATTTAAGAAACAACAACAAATTTCCAATATTTCTTTAAACTCACCGCGTCGTAACTTTTTTATGAAAATAGCTTTTTAAATGGTTTTTTTTTCAAAAACTCTACAATTTAATGGACTTCATTTTGTCTCGATTAATAATGTGGTCTGTTTGTAAAAATAAAGCGGGTAGCGGCTTTCAACTGCCGGAGCGCCTACCTCGTTACGCAGTTAATTCGACGCTCTTCACAACTCGGTCATCTCGATGAAGTGAGATTAAAATTATGTCGTTAATTTTTTTTCAATAATCTATTTCACAAAATAACAGAAACTTGTCGGAACTATAAATATATTATGCAATATTAATATATTATTACGAGATTATAATTTTTAATAGAAAACTAAATTAAAACTCATCCTCAGGACGTTTGACAATAGGGAGCACCTAATTGGAGTCTTTTTTGACATCAAAGGAATTGACCAATTTTAGTTTTTTTGAATTTACGTCGAACCTATTCGACATGTTGAATTTCCACAAGGAAATTTTAAATAAGCATCTAAAACTGCAAAACATTGTCCATTTAACCAATTCTCTATCTTTAATAATAGAAAATTACCCATGCAATCCCACGCGATCTGGGACAACTGTTATACAGTGTAGTAGCTATAGTTTCCAAATACCGCTAACTGATACCCCAGAAAAGGGATAGGTACTAACTTTTCTGGGCTAATACTATGCGATCAAAAATGAGATACTGTCGAGTCACCTTTGAAATTTTTGTTTACATGGGAAACCATATTTAACTTGAACTTCCAAAGGCGACTCGAAAGCAACTTATTTTTATCGCCCGTTACAGAAAACAGTTGAAATGCTTTATTCAAAATTGTTTTGCCAATTTTCAACCGTATGATCTTAACTAGTGGTATGTATCGCCATAGAGGAAATACAATTTTACAATTTTATGGTATCGCCAACAATGTAGGTACCTTTACGCATGCGATCATATTGCTCAGATAGTTACTTTAAAATATTCGGAGCTATAATACGGATATTTAATTACTCTATGATAATACCTTTACTTGTGTAAGTAAAAATCAATTCCTTCATCTGTAACCAAAATCTAACAATCGACAGTATAATGACGTTATATATTAACGCGTTTTATAGAAGAGAATAAAGAGATACATAATAGCATAAAGAAGAAATTATTTATAGGTGCAACCACGTACGTCGGCCCTTCTTTAGTTATGTAAGTAGATACTTATTTAGGGATAAAGTTAGTGGTAGTACAATGTTATTTTGTGATATTGTTTTCATATGTCCCTTCAGAACAGTTTTCGTTAGATGGGTGTAAATATTTAATAGGTAGGTACCCGCATTTGCTTTCTCTTAGGTTTGGATATACAACTAATATTTTTATTCCATAGAATAGCATTATTATAACTAACATCTTCTGTTTCTTTTACTATATAACCAAACCCGTCAAAATATTTGGACAATTTTATATATCCTATACTTATATCTATTTTATATATATGTACTTATTCGATGAATAGATGTCCTGTCTGATAAAACTTATATACCCTATACCTACTGTTTAATTTCTCTGAGAACGCACAACTGTTGATATGGAACGCAAGCATCTCTACGAAAGTTTATCCCCAATCATAAATTGCGCCAAGGTATTCGGTCTTATAACTTCGCAAAGGCGACACGAAAATACTGTAAAGACCATAATAAGTTTTATTTGGAGTATTGCAATAACAGTGCTACCATTAGCGTATGTAATATGCAACGTAACTACCAGATTTGGAAACCACTTCGGGAACATGATAAGAGTTTGGGATGTAGCAACAAACTACGCAGGTGCGGTTGCAATTGCAATCACTGTCGCGTCTCACTTTGTACAAAGAAAAAAGGTATAAGTCCAAATACGCAACTTGCGCTCTAATCGATTTTTTTTAGATTGGATTACTAATTAATAACATTGCCGAAGTGGACACTAATGTTATTAAACTTAATCCACAATTTCCATTGAAGCTGAAATACCAGACAACCAAGCTATGGAGTTTATTCACAGTATCTGCGATTCTGTCATACTTTTTCATAGTGTTAACTATGCAGGTGGTAATTATTATGGAGGGTGATTTGATGTATTTTGAAGATATAGTAGTTGTAACTTTACCCATCGTTATAACTTCAATAATGGAAATAGAATTTTGTCTTTTGGTCTTACTCCTATGGCAAAGAAGTTCTTGGTTAAATAGTGCGATATTAAGAATTCGAGACAAAATCTGTCTTGGCAGCAATTTCAAAAAGTGTATATTTCTGGGACTAAAGGTTTTATTTTCACCAATCATTTGAAGGTTTGGCGGTTTGGTCGAAACACAGATGATTCACCAAGTTAAGCAAATCTATGGCGACTTATGTGCAATCGGTCAAGGAATAAATCAAGCATTTTCAGTGCAGCTTTTAATTTTACTGTTTAAAAATTTTTTAGGAATTATTATGGTTTTGTTTTTTTGGGTTACGCATGCTAAAGATTTACCAACATCGTTATTGCACCAGATATTGTTACATTCCGTACTAATTGTTTTAATGTTGCAACTTCTGGTCATTGTTATAGTGTGCTCTATTTCCACATTGGAGGTTAGCTATTACTGGATAATTATAATTTTTTTATTATAGTGGTTTTAGGCAAAAAAGACTGGCGCTTTAATACACGATGTTCTACCATCATCCAGCGTCTCATGTAACCGAAGAGCCTTACAAATGCAAGTATGCATATCATAGATATCAGGGTAAGTTTTTTCATTCTTTCATTTTCAGCTCTCCTGTTTTTCGCTCCTGTTGGCACATAAGAATGTTGAATTTACAGCATGCAATTTTTTTGTAATAAACGAAACCTTATTATTTTCAGTAAGTGTACCGAGTTTATTACATGTACTTTAAATTAACTTTTCAGATTGTGGGAACAGCTTCTGCTTATTTAGTGATCGTCGTCCAATTCGAATTATCATCGCTATGAACATTAGTTCTTAGGCACTTTATTACGTTTTGCGATCGTTGGGTACTTAAGATTCATCACTGGTTTGTAATATCGCGAACGAGGGAATATATCTCTATCGGAGTTATAGGTAGTCCAGGCGTCAGAGACCCAAAAGCAGGTCAATAAGGAAAAAATTTTTAATAAACTAATTTTTGTTTTTAACCCTTCATTTAGATGTAAATATGTGGTAGAAAAATAATCCTCCAACTAAGACCGGAATATTAGTTTAAACAAAGGAAAAGGTGACTTTTTATGATTTTTTTGCAATT